TGTGCAATATCAGCAAGAGCACTTTGAATCTTTTCCAGAAGCATGTCCCCTCGATAAACAACATCCTCCAGACAAGTGGCAGCTTCATGGTTTTCTTCTTCTAGCTTATATAAGCTAGCAGCCTTTATAAGACACAAATTTAAAAATCATTAGAGTTAAGAAGGAAAGAAACTGTAGCAGAGAGATTTAATTTTAAATCTGAATGACTTTATGACCATTGCGATACATTTTTTCAGTAGCAGAAGTTCTAAAAATCAGATAACTTAAGAATTTTCCTTGCATGAATTATCAAAAAGAATGAATTTTCAATTAGAGATCTCTAGATATCTGTATGTGACCCTCTTCCACATTACTTGTGGACACTATTATTCTACTCCACATACAGAATGCCACCCTCCTCTCATTCTTCACTGGGAAGAGACAAACTGAGGAAAACTGGGGATTTCCTTATAACTCAAAACTGGACAACTATATACATTCAACACAAGCTTCAATAGACTATACCAACTCCCAATTAGTAAAACTCTCATCTTAAAGTAACTTTGAACACTATAACAAAATATGCTATGGTTTGAATGTTCCAAAATTCATAGGTTAAAATCGAATCCCCAATTTGTGATAGTATTAAATGGTAGGGCATTTAAGAGATAATTAGGTCATCAGGGCAGAGCCCTCACAGATGGGATGAGGACCCTTGTAAAAAGGCTCCAGGTTGAAGGGGAAGCTCTTGCTCTCTTGCCTTTCTGCCTTCCACCATGTGAGAAGTAAAAATAAGGCCCTCAATAGATGCTGACGCCTTGATCTTGGACTTCCCAGACTCCAGAACTGGGAGAAAATAAATTTCTGTTCTTCATAATTACCCAGTCTCAGGTATTTTGTTATAGCAGCAAAAATGAACAAAGATAAAAGGCACTAAATCTACCTCTTTAAATTCAAAATTCTCCATAACTGGTAAAATTCTCAAAAGAATAGACACTTTTACCTGCAAAGCAGCTGTAGATTCTTCACTGGGTAAGGAATCTATCAAAACATCAATGTCTTTTGCTGTTCGTGCAATCAGTGCCGCAAAAAGCTGGGCATACTCTAGAGAAAGATAGATATTACTAAATTAGGATATTAGAGAACTTCAAGTTCCCAGAAACAGAAATTAAATTTTAAGTTAACGAAGCCAGAAAACTTCACATAACTTTTTCTGAACTAAGATTCTAATGATTTTAATCTATTCTAATTCTAACCCAATGATTCTAATGATTAAAGTGTAATTTTAACACATCAATCCTATTACACATTTAGCTCCAACTGGGAATTAAGCATAATGTATTTTTTCTCATTTATTAGGACAATATGGGGGTCATTTAAATAAAGAAATCTGTAAATGGGATGCCTTTCTTATTAAGGTCCCTCAAGTAAAATTCAGCTAAATTCATACAAATTCTCTTCAAAAAGAGCAACAATCTGTTATTTGACATGAACAGAACTATGAGATGTGAATTGACTGTAACACATTCATTTCTTTTTTAACAAAAACTTGTAGTAACATCCTCAAAGAACATTTTTAGAAAAAAGCCATAAATAAGTTAAATTTCTCAATAAATCTAATTTTAAAGGATTACAAGAAATATGAGAGTCAAACTTAAGAAAAGCCAAGAAAACTCATTTACCTTCTGTAGGGTTGGCTGGTTGGTCTTTGTTAATCGCTGTCTGAATATTATTAAAAGAAGCAGGGGGACCACATTGCTGCAGCACTCCAATGGCATTACAAAACTGATCTGCAAGCTTGGGTCAAAGAAAACATGTCAAGGTTAGAAATAATTTATCACTTTTAAGGACTTCATCGGGAATGACAACAAGTTTCTACGATGATCTCTGGGCAGGGGATTAAAACAGAAAGGAACAATTATTGATAAAATAGCCAGTTATTAATAATAATGATTAAACATTTTAATCCTTCACAGAAACTAAGTTTGGTATCAATCTGGATGAAGTTAAATTTGATATTAATCAAGTAAAAACAGTGAAGAAATACAAAATAAACTTTCTTTTCTTCTGAAGGCCACAGAATGGTAAGTGACCCTAGGTTTCATAAAAAATGTATTATTCATGCACTAAGTATATCATCACTTTTCTGAGACTGCAGTAGTTATTTACAAGTATAAACAAATAGTAGGAAAAAGACTGTTGGAAAAATGCACCCTGAGTAATCAGAAATGTATTTCTCCAAGACTCAGTCTGTAAATTCCTGGTGTCTAAAAGTATTCCTTAAGCAGTTTTGAAGATTGAGAATACCAGTTTCTTAGCATCTCCAAACTAAATGCCTCTATCCTCTCTACCAACTTCTCTTGCTAGTCTTGACCTCTCAAACCTCAATTCCTATTTCCAATCAGTGAATAAGCACTTCCAGTGAGTTTCTCTGCCATTATTTCAATGACAGAAGCCAAAGTTAACTATTTCCTTTGCTTATTATCTAATTTGTATGGAGAGTCTCCTAGTCAACCAGTCTAGCTTCAGATTCTTACT